CCGTTAGTTCGTGGTCCCGGTCCCGAGCCGGTTCCAGCAGTAAGCCCGCGAAGCCCAGGACCGTTTAGGACCGGACCGCATAGGACCGGCCCACTTAGGACCGGGCCCGCGAAGCCGACTTAAGACCGGACCCGGCCCACTTGCCACCCCTAATGACAGCTCATAGAATGAGATTTGATACCAATTGATTTTTTCTTCCTTTTTTTCTAATGTAAGCCGTGAGTCTTATTTGTCGGTTGAGTATAATTTTTCGTACACGGATAAAGAGATAAATTCTCAAAAAGAGAAGTAAAGAATGATATTTGTGAATGAAAATAACTAGGAGTATTAGCTACAACCCAGCTTAAAAATTGGAGGAATTTTGCTACAACCCAGCTTAAAAATTGCCTCCATTTTGGAGGGTGAATAGTATCACTCCAAATTTGGAATGACATTATTCATCCACTCCATCACTATTCCCTATTATTTTATTATTATTTAACCCTTTTAATTTATCATATTATATATACCTAATTATATTTATGTAATATCTTTATAATATTAATTTTACACCTTAATTTTAGAGTATAATTTTGATAAATTAATTTCCATGCATATACTATTTTTTATGTACAATTGTAAGTTAATTTTATTATAAGTTATAATTGTATAAAAAAAATATATAACTATCACAAAAATGAAAGGTGCAAATATAAAATACAAAAAAATTAAAGACAAAGATGCTCATTTTGCCCTTTGCAATGCATTAATAGATCATTTATGGGAGCATACTAGAGGTGAAAGTTGAATATTTAAGTAGTATTTACCCTAAATTTTAAACAACATATAATATGTATTGAATTATCTTGTATCTCAACGATTTTACTTTTATTTGAATTATCCATTAATATGTATAATCTATAATATTTGCGTACAAATTATATTATTTAAAAAATTATGGTATAAAATAATTTTATTTGAAATAGTTATATAAGAAAGAAATATGAATTATATGGGATGAATATGTAAAAAAGAAAAAAAAGTTAGGATTTGTTTAATGAAAATGAGAAAATAAAATTTAAATAAAAGATAATAATATAATATAGAAGAGAGAAGAATATAAAAAAAATATTCTTTATTGGAGTGAAAAATAGAGTAATAATTAGAGTTAGTTTCCTACATTTTGGAGTGAAGGGTTGAAATGACCGGCCAGTGCAACATTGTAAAGGACTAATACGGTAAAGGGAGGGACTGTGATCTGTCTCTCCTTTAAAGACGCCTTTTTTGTTTTTGAAAATTTTGGAAGTTTGAAAAACTAAGCAGTTACTGTTTATTTGCAAAGCAGCTCAAACAAACATTTTTAACAAAAAAATCCAAACAACTTGCATATTCGAAAACAGAGGTCATCGAAAAAAATCCCCTAATAAAAGTATAAAAGAGTTATGGAGTTTTCCATGTGATCTCCAACTTTTCTGGACTGCAATTTTAGGGGCAACGTTTACCAACTAACTTTGAAGTTAATGAGTTGGATTCACATCAATTCTTTTATTACTATTTCTATTCCAAAAAGATTAACTCCGAAAATAAATCTTCTAATTTTTAATTTCATTGAAAATTAATATCTTAATATTTTAAAATACAACTTCCATATTTTGGAAGTCAGATAAAAACACTAATAGAAATTACAAATATTTATAATTTAAAAAATATTTAAAACAATATATAAAAAGTTTTGGTAAAAGTTGTTTAATTTTCCCAAGAGGAAAAAGGTATAAAAATGGTTTTTCTCTTTTTGGTAAGTTCAAAACCTTGCAAATAGATAATTCGATGTGAAATTACAAACAAGTGGTATATAATTAATTCTAATAATGAACCCAAACAAGTCACCTTGGTGCTCTTAGTCTTTATTTAAATTTAGTATACTGCTATGAGAGGATCACACTTCAATTATTTTTATTCCGTAATTAATAAAGTACAACATAGTACTTTACTTTATTGTCTTTCTAAAAGCAAGTGCTTTTCTTTGGTCGTGCAAAAAAGAAAAAACAATTAAAGTGTACCGGATGGAGTAAAAATTAACAAATCTACTATTAACCTGTTTGGTCAAGTTTTTTTTTTCAAATGTGATTTTGACCAAAAATTGAGTTGTTTGACCAAACCTTTTTAAGAAAAAAATATTTTTGAGGAGAAGCAGAAACAGATTTTGAGAAGCAGACAAATGTAGCTTCTCTAAAAAAAGAACTTTTACGAGAGACACTTTATAGAAAAATAAGCATTTTTCAAAAGCTTGGTCAAAATTAATTACTGTTCAAAAGTGTTTTTCAAATTAATTAGTCAAACACAAATCGATTCTCACCAAAAGTACTTTTTTGAAAAGCACTTTTGAAAAAAACACTTATCAAAATAAACAGATTTTAGAAGTTGGTTCAAACAGGATATAGCACAAGAAAGAAAAGAAACAAAAATATTAGGAGATCCTTCAAATTTTGGAGTTTTTAGACAACCTGTCATTAACAAATATAGAAAATATAACATGTGCAAAGGGTAAAAAATAACCCTCTGCTATGCGAAAATGTTCATTTATACCATTCGTTATACTTTTGGTTCATCCTTACCCGTGAGCTTATAAAAGTGGTGCAAAAATGCCCCTCCTCCATTAGGGCCCTCCACCATGGCCACCATCATCCCACGTGGACTGACATTTAGATGAGGTGGACACCGCATGACATGCTATCTCACCATTCCAACTCCATTTTACTCCTCCCTCCACGTTCTCTTCTTCCACCACTATCTCTTCGTTTACCCAACCATCACCCAAAAATAAATATTTAAATAAAAAAGTAAGATTTGTTGATTACTAATTTTTGCTGATTCTTAGAGGCATTTGATTTTTCATGCCAACTTATACTAATTTGTGATAGAAATTCTTCTTGTTTTCTATGACGAATTTAATTTTTTATTCTGCCTGTGATTCGTAGTTTTTCAGTATGCCGAAGTCGTGGGTACACTGATACTATAATTTTACTTTTTATCCATGATTTGGCTGTGACTATAGCTAGATATGAAAGGTTTTAACTTTTTACTATTTATGATTTGAATTCAATTATAATATGTTAGTATATAAAACTTTTTATAATAGTCCGATCTTGTTCTAGTTTAATGGTTCTTAATGTGGTATTCCAATGGATAATTTACTAATAGCTGATAGATTTAGCCTAATAGAGTAAGAGAACGGTGGCTGGCATTTTTTTTTTATTTTCCTTCAATATGATAGACGTCAAATGTTTAAAATTAATGTGAGATGCGGCATTTTAGAAAGAAGATGTGGCAGCAGTAAAGGAACTATGGAAATAAGGTAGTGGTCTTTGTGATTTCTTTTTGAATTCAAAAAGAGAAAAAGAAAAATGTGGCAGTGGTAGTTGGGTGAGGGAGGAGATGGTGGTGGAAGAAGAAGAAGAAGAAGAAGTAGTAGGGGGAGAGGGTAAAATGG